TGATACACACTGATGTGAAGAGCTTGGACTTCTGTCACTCTCTACAACAATGTGAAAGGAGGTTGTAGCAAGGTGGGTTGGCATCTTTTCCCAGGTAACAATAATAGGATGAGATGTAATGGAGGTGATGCAGTCACCGTCCCTGGAGGTGTTCCAGAATCGTTTGGATGTGGCACTGAGGGACGGTGGGGATGGGCTGACAGTTGGATGAGGTGATTCTACAGGTCTTTTCCAACCTTAATGATTCTATGGTTTATATATAAACAGACCATCTCCTCCCAGCCAAAGCAGCACGTACTACAGGAGAAAATATAGTGAATCCCACCAGAATGGTTGCACAGAGGGGATTCTAGGACAGTCAGACCAAAGGAAATCATTTGGACTGCTCCAACCAGAAATGTAAGATTGGGAAGGGTACAGCTGGTCTCTGAAGCACACCCAGAATCAGAGAAGTTGGTATGGAAGAGTTATTTACATTAAAGTCAGACTGATGCAGGCAACAGTAATTCAGCCCCAAGCAAACTAAGAATCGACTTCAATTCTGAAATAGTTTTCTAATTGGCATTACAGAAATTAATGTAGGTTCACTTAAAGCTGGAAGCTGACAAATAAGTAAATTTAAGTCTTCCATCTCTCCTCAGTTAATTTCCAGCATATTTCAGTGCATTCAGAATGCTCTGTGGGTTGTGTATTTGCCAGTCACAATCACATGAGCCTCATCTCCATGACCAAGTGAGACCTAACAGCAAGTAAACTGAAAATTTTGGTCTGGCTGCTACCAAGGGCATAGAAACCCCAGCATGCTTTGCAGACAGAAGTTAAGTCCAGGCTTGCAAGCTTATCTCCAGCAGTAAATATTCGAACAGAAGGACCTTTGCAGAATGCACAAGGCTGTGATAAAAGCCTCTTTGGGGCACAAAGCATCTCCAAGCTGATAAGTCATGGCCCTGAAGCACTGCTGCCATCTTGAATGATGACCCTAACCCCTTGCAGCACGTGCCCTTTGAGGAGTAGTTTAATTAGTTTTTACATTCAACATTTTGCCATTGGATTCTACAGAGGGAGAAAGGAAAAGAAAGATCCACAGCCATCCTGAGTCAGTTGGCTTTAAGCGTCTTTCACGGAGGTTAAAAACCACACGGAATTCTTCAGTCACACTCCTCTCCTAGTAATGCTAGAAAAAGGTAAACAGGAACGTGCCCCTTGCTCTGTGTTTACTGGCCATGGGAGGCTGCCAAAAATGCACAGTCTGTGCTCTCAGCCTTGGCAGAAGGGGCACATTACTCACATTGGACATGTTTAGAGTAGCATTTGGAACCCCTCCCATCCACACCATTGGAGAACTCCGAACACCAAACCTTCTTGTATTAGGAAATAACGTCATTGAGGGGAGGAAGAAGAGTATTAACAGTGGTACCTGCAGAGCTGTGGTCTGGATAGGAGTGGTGAGTGCAGTGAGCGCTGGGTTCTGCACTGCAGCCATAACAGGATTGCCATCTGCCTTCAGCGTGGTCAGCACGAGGGAATCTGTCTTGATGATCTGAGGCTGGACCAGAACCTGCACGGGGAACAGCCAGAGGTGAGGAGATGAGTGGGCATGCACTGCTCTGTTCCTCTCAGTGGTCAGAGGCAGTGACAACCCACTGGTGCTGACATCAGAGACCAGTAGTAAGCCAGTGCCGAAAAACACCAAGGAGCTGATGAAAGGACTCCTCTGCCCTTGCCTGTAGCAAGTTTCCTGTGTCAGCTGGGGGAGCCCTCAGGGTACAACACATGTGTGGGGGTAACAGCAACTGGATGAGAGGGAATAGCCTCAAGTTGTGCCAGGGGAGGTTTGAGGTGGATGCTAGGAAAAACTTCTTCTCCGAAAGAGCAGTGCAGCAGTGGCACAGGCTGCCCAGGGAGGTGGTGCAGTCGCCATTCCTGGAGGTGTTCCAGAATTGTGTGGATGTGGCACTGAGGGACGTGGTCAGTGGGCATGGTGGGGATGGGCTGGCGGTTGGATACTAGTGATCTTTTCCACCCTTAATGATTCTATGCCACAGCACCTCCCAGTGCCAGCAGCGGTTCCTTCCTCTGATTTAATTGGGAGGATGTCAGAACAGTTATTTAGCTGTGACACATCTGGCTGTTGCTCTTTCAAGTACTTCACTGACTCTCAAATACAGAGAACACTACAGAGGGCCCAAACAGAATCACAGAATCATAGAATCACAGAATCATTCAGGTTGGAAAAGACCTTAAAGATCACCGAGTCCAACCACGACCTAACCATGCTACCCTAACTCTAACAACCCTCCACTAAATCATGTCCCTGAGCACCACATCTGAACGGTTTTTAAACACATCCAGGGATGGTGACTCAACCACCTCCGCGGGGAGCCTATTCCAGCGCTTCACAACCCTTTCTGTAAAGAAGCTTTTCCTGATATCTAACCTAACCTTACCCTGGCACAACTTGAGGCCATTTCCCCTCATCGTGTCACCTGTCACCACTGAGAAAAGACCAACCCTACTCTTCCTGTAAGCACCTTCCAGATACTGGAAGAGAGCAATAAGGTCTCCTCCCCTCAGCCTCCTTTTCCCCAGACTAAACAGCCCCGGATCCTTCAGTCTCTCCTCACAGGACATATTCTCCAAGTCCTCCACAAGCCCTGTTGCCCTTCTTTGAACCTGCTCCAGCACCTCAACGTCCTTTCTGTACTGAGGTGCCCAAAACTGAACACAGTACTCAAGGTGAGGCTTCACCAGTGCAGAGTACAGGGGCAGGACTACTTCCTTAGTCCTGCTCACCACATCATTCCTGATACAATTATTCCTGATACAGTTGAACCAAAACAATTTTTTCACAGGGAGTGTTCCCTAGTGAAGAAACACTTATCTAACACTTATCAATATCTACTAAAGGTGAGAGCCAGGTGGATGGGCCAGGCTCTTTCACTTCTACTTACCGGCACCTGCTGGACCTGTGGTGCTGCCACTGTCTGAACTGTGGCGGGTGCCAGTGCCTGGATGGTGCCACCAGCAGCCTGTGTCAGCACACGTGGGGCCGGCACCGCCTGCACCTGCTGCTGGATGGTGACTGGCTGCACCTGGGGGGACGTCACCAGGCTCTGCACCTGGGGCTGGAGAACTGCAAACAAGGAGAGACGTCAGGGACTGCACCGTGATGAGGCCTTCTAAACTTTCTGCTATGGATACAACCAACCCCAACACTACCTTGGAAGCTCGTGGCCGTGTTCTGGTATAGGACGGGCTGCTGGATGATCCTGGTCTGGGGCGCAGAGCTGAAGGTGGGGGTGATCATCACCGTCTGCTGCTGGAGCTGGGGCTGGAGCTGGGGCCGGGGCTGGAGCAGCGGGGCTGGGCGTTGTGGGGCTGGTGGCACCTTCACCGGGATGCTCTGCAGCTGCGGGGAGGCGGCGGGCGGAGGGAAGGGCTGCTGGGCCTGACCATAGGACCGCGTAGCATCCAGGGCCCCACCGCCTGTGCCACCGCCACCACCGCCGCCGCCACCCTGGAAGGTGCCACACAGAGGGTCCGAAAACAGGTCTGGGAAGTCCCCTGCCTGGTTGCTGACGAACTGCAGCATCTCTGCAAGAAGGAAAGGGAACATTTGCGGCTGGTTGTTTCCATGGGACACAGGGTCAGGACTCAGAGGCCAGCAGTGGGCACAGGAGGAAGCGGCAGCTTCAGAAGTCCCAGAGGTAGCCAGTAACTCCGCGCTGAAACACTCCCAGAGTTCGAGATCCAATATTTTCAGCCCATTGCCATTTGTCCAATCCCCATCCCAGCTTCACGCTCGGAGGAGGAGGATGAGCAGCCCCATGACTTCAGTAAGAGCCGTCCTCCCACCTAGGGCTGCCTCACACCACCCATCCTCTGCCCACAGAGCCCCACCGTGACACGCGGATGGTGACTCACCCTGACTACGGGTAATTTCAGGTATACAGGGAAATAGGGGAAACACACTCAAGAAAACAGAACTTGCAGAACTCGAGCTGAGAAATGCATGGGTATGCCTAAGGAGATCCCACAGCCAAAGCTTCCTCCTGACTGCCCCCCGATGACCATCTGAGCTCCCCGATCCCATCCCAACATCCGACACACAAGACCCCACATTGCACAGATACCGCAGGGGCTGTACACAGGTATGGAAGCAGCACCGGGGTTTATGGTGAAGGAGTGGCAGTAGGGCTCTCCCCACACCACCCCACGCCGCACCCAGGACACACAACACGGCACTTTCCCACTCGATGACACTGCCATTTTGCGAGCAGGTGGCCCCACGCAGGTAAGGGGCGGACATAACGCGTTGGATGTGCTCCAACGCACTCCATGCTTGGATACAGGGCCCTCCCCGGGGCCACTCGTTAGGATCGGCACTAATTACTGCTTCGCCCCCCGCCGCCCTCTGACGTCACGCTGCTCCCCGTGACGTCACGCGCATGACTCAAACCCGCCAACACGCGCTGAGGGGGCTTCCCCGCACCCCCACGTAGCCCACGCGTGGCACAGCACCGAGCCCCGCGCTCCCGCCCGGCCCCGCGCTCACCGTCGATGTCGCCCAGCGTCAGCTCGTCGCCCAGCTCAGTCAGGGTCTCCATGCCCTCGGCGCCCAGCTCGCCGCTCTCCATGTCGCACGGCCCCGTTCCGCTCCCCGCCCGCTCTAAGCGGAGGAAGCAGCCCGGCGCCGCCGGCCCCGCGCCATCTTGCACCGCCCCGACCCCGCCCCCACCTGCCTGGCCCCGCCCCCCCGCGCGCTGTCATTGGGACCAGGTCGGCGGCAGCCAATAGGAGCGCGCAGCGCCGCATGGCGTGATGGCGCGTCGGCGATCAGCAGCTGCGATTAGCATGCGAGACCACGCCCCCTGCCTCACGCGCTACATATTCATGAGGGGGCATGGCCTAGCCCACGAGCGTGAGCCCCGCGCCGCGCCCACGGCCCTGCCCACCGCCTTCTCCATGGCAGCGAGCAAGAAGCCTCGTCGTAAAAAAAATAACAACCGTTCCGATTTATTCCAGAAAAACAACGCATGCCCCGTCCCCAGCACATGGCTTTGCACCCATCTGACGAGTGGTGCCCCAGCGCCCGTTGCTCAGGGATAGCCCCACTTTGGGGCCGTGGGACCATTGGGCCGCATCGACTGAAAAACAAAAATCCACCCTGAAACTCACAGAAGCGGCTGGCAGGGCATCCCCAGCCCAGCCATGGGTGGGAGCAGCTGCATCGATGCAGGTCCCGGCCCACCCGGGCCTACAGCTCAGACTGCGAGCGAGAGATGCGCGGGCCCTTGCGGATCTCCTTGCGCTTCTCCTCCTTCCGGCGCCGCTTCTCCTCCTCGCGCAGCGCCTTCTGGAAGGTGTCAGCGCTGGGGAAGAACTGGGGTGGGCAGGAGATGGAAGCACGAAGGAAATGACAAATTCAGTGATGTGAGGGAGAGTGGAGCCAGAGCTTGGCGTCTCCTGTGGAGCACAAACCCACCAGAACCCAACAAAAACTCTCCAAAGCCCAACAAAAAACCAATCATAATACAACAAAAACCCTCCAAAGCCCAACCAGAACACAGCAAAAACTTTTCAAAGCCCAGTAAAAACCCAGTAATAACCCAACCAGAACCCAACAAAAACCCTCCAAAACCCATCAAAGAAAAAACAGTAAAAACCCAACAATAAAAACTCTTCAAAACCCAACCAAAACCAAAACCCAGTGGAGTCACAGAAGAGGGGGATTATGTGGCTCGGCCACCCTACCTCAGAGTGGTCAGCTTTGAAGGGATTGCGGTAATTGGGGGACTTCTCACTGATGCCCAGCTCCTGAGCCATCTGTGGAGCAAAGCAAAGTCCCTGTAGGAGACTGTAATCACCACCTCCTCCCACCCCTCAGAAACCTCAGTCCCCACCAGCCCCTACTCCTCTGCTTGCCCTCTGCCCCCTGCAGACCCCCAAAAGTGACCTCAGGGCCGTACCAGCCCCAGGAGCTGGGAGTGGGGCCCCTGCTCAAAGACGCCCGTCAGGTTGCAGAAGCCGATGCCCCAGCGGATCAGGTTGTTCCAGTTGGAGTTGCGGTCAAAGTAGTGGTGCACAATCTTGGGGAAGCGCAGCACAACGTCCCCAAAGAAGGCTGTGTTCTCCACCACATGGGAGTACGCTGAGGAAGAGAGGAACAGCCCCATCAGCAGGACACCCCACGGACCCCAAAATGCCAGCTTTAGGGCATCACCAGACATGGGATACCAAGGATGGACATGGGACAACCCCCAAAGACAGGAGTGGGAGAGAGGATGCAGGCTTCAAGATCCTAGCCCAGGGGGGTTAAGTGATATGGAGCACTCACCATCCTTCAGCTTCTCATCCTGGGGGAAAGGCCCATCCGGTGGCACATCTGCTGCTATGAGTACAGCCCGGGAGTCTTCCAGCACCTGCAAGAGCTCTCAGTCACTGCCCTCTCATCCCATGAGGTGCCTCGCTGTGTCCCTCTGTTCCCCTTTCTGCTCATCTGTGAGCCCTACTTCTGCTGCCTGCCCTCCCCAGCATCACTGTACAGGTGCCCCAAACCCACCCCTGCCCCATGGCACCGAGCCCACTCCACACTCACTTTGAAGAGTCCTTTGAGCATGATGTCAATGATTTTATACTGTTGGTTAATGTCATTGAGCTCTATGAGGTTCTTCAGGGCATTCATCTGGTCCTTGCGCTTCACCTCGAACAGTTTCTTATCTGGAGTGATGTCAAGGGCACTGTGGGGCTCTGGGCATGCTCACAGCCTGCTCCCAAAAAGACTTAGCCGAGTTCTGGGAGTGGGATATCGAGGCCAAGAGATTGGATTCCAGATACTCGAATGGGGCGCTTGCTAACACCCAGCACACAGGAGCAGAAAGAAACAGCACTGCATGAGGAGAACATCAGACACCACCTGAAAAACTTGCCTCAGAACCAGCCCTGACATCTCATTAACAACTCCTATAAAAGGGAGACGAGGAAAGTGCTCAACAGTGCTGGTTGATGCTGGGGCAACATTTGAGCAGGGGTTGCTATTTCATATAGCCCAAGAACTAGCAGGTGGCAATATGGGGCCCTGGAGGTATGCAGTGTCAGCCCTGCTCCAGGCAGGATCAAAGCAACATCAGTTGCTCAAAGTCATGCCCAGCAGCCATGTGACACTTTGTTCCCATGTCGTTAGCAATAAGCATAGCCTTAGGGCCCTTCTCTCCTCTCTCCTCCATCCCCCTTGAGCCATCTCCTCACATGCAAGTGTTCCACAGTCTCCTCAGGTGTGAGCGTGACAGAGGCATGGCACTACGGGAAAGGATACAGATCTCCAATCCAGAGCCCATCCTCTGCTTCTCCAGGTCTGCCAGGCTGCCTTCAGGCAGCACCACTGCCAAAAGGATGAGGCAGATCCAGAGGAAATCCATTTTGGAGGCCACAGCCTGGAACAAAACCGACAAAACCAGTGACAATGCAGAGATGTTCCCCACAGGAGTCCTGCCAGCCCACCAGACCCAAAACAGCCATTGTTGTGTCAGAGACAAGGTTCCTGTGTCCTCGCTGCACACCCACTGCCATCCCCTGCTCACACACAGCACCAAGGCACCGTGCTGGGATCACCAAGTTGAATAATTAACCTGACTGACCAAGTCCTACCAATAAACCACATCCATTAGTGCCATATCCACACATTCCCTGAATACCCCCAGGGATGGGAACTCCATCACTACTGAGCAGCCCCCTCCAGTGCTTCCTGTGCCAAAAGCAACATGCTCTGCTCCTGCACCACCAGAGCCCCATCAGCTCACACACCATATGCACACTCCAGCCCAGACTACATCACAGAATTGGGAAAGATTTGCCTGAATCTTCCCTAATTTAAGCAACCTGAACACTGCCTGTGACTCTAGCATGAGGTCATGACCCAAACAATGACCCTCCTTCTCTAAGCTAAGCTAAGCTAAGCACAGGGATGCAAAACCCTCTATGCAGATGTTCCTCCACACTCCCCAAGAGCCCTTCCTCGTGCCTTCAAGCTCACTTTGGGTGAAGAGAAACGCTGCAGAGCTGCTCCCCTCTTTGCAAAAGCAAGCACCAGGCTGCCAGGGCCTGTCCTGTGCAGCAGATGGGAAGGAGTTCCCCTGTGATCCCCAGCAGCCCCAACCAGCTGCTTGCTGCACACAGAGCCCACCCGTCTGCCTCGCTGTCTCCCATTCTCTTAATTTAGATACGCTTCTCGAAAGCACGACAGACGCTGCACTACAGACAGTTAGCGGTTCCCATTAACGTGTTTTTTAATTACTTTATAGATTCTCCCGAGGGAGCTGCATCCGAACCGAGCATCTCAGAGACCGGCACGGCACAGCCCCGCTTCCCCTCCTCAGTGCAGAAGCACAGAACGGGGAAACGACGGGCCGCTGCACCACCGGGAGTCCATCCGCACACCGCCAAGCATACGTGGCTCAATCTCATGTCACAGCCCGAACCGAAAGCTTCAGAAGTTAAGCGGGGTACCAGACTGCTCCCGCGGCATTCCTCCGCGAGGCTCAGCAGGGAATGCTCGCGCGGAACAGTGATGGCACGGCCACATCTGCTCGCCTCCGAGTCCCTCACCCGCCGAACTCAGACTCCTATTGCGGGGACAACACCGGCACAGCTTTGCGATCTCCGCCAGCGACAGAGCCGCCTGCGGAGGGCTCGGCAGCACCCGGTGGCTCTGCACGGCTGCGGGCTCAGGGAGATGGAGTTCCTCTTCCAAGCAGCGCTCGATCGGGGCTGAGCGCTCCGGGCTGCCCCTCTCTCGCGCGCACGGAGGGTGCCACGGTCCTCCGGGAAGCGGCCAACGTGCGGGGCAGCTTACGGCAGCAGCCCGCGGCTCCCCTCCGACGCTCGGCACCGGCCCGGCCCCGCGGAGCAGCCGCCGCACGCCCGCCCCGCATTGACCCGCCCGGCCCGCACTGCCCCGACCCCCTACCTGCGGGCCGGGAGCGGGGCCGGGAGCGGCGCTCAGAAGCGCCGCGCTGCCATGCCGCCACCGCCTCCCGCCCCGCCCCGCCGTGTCACTTCCTGGAGCTCCCGCCCCGCCCAACCGGCCGCCGTACCTCGGGCTGCGTCCGGAGCGGTGCGATCGGCGTTGTGAAGGAGGTGATCCTGTCCCTTTGTTCTGCACTGAGAGACCTCACCCGGAGTGCTGCGGCCACATGGGGAGTCCTCAGCGCAGGACACACGTGGACCTGCTGGAGTGTGTCCAGAGGAGGGACACAGAAATGACCCGAGGGATGGAACGCCTCCCTGTGAACACAGACCGAGAGCTGGGGCTCCGGGGAGACCTTAGAGCAGCCTTTCAGTATCTAAAGGGGGCTATAAGAAAGAAGGGGACAGACTCTTTAGCAGAGTCTGCTAGGATAAGACAAGAGGAAATGGTTTCAAATGATAGGAAGGGAGGTTTAGAAGGGATGTAAGAAGTTGTTTACAATCAGGCTGGTGAAGCACTGGCACAGGTTGCCTAGAGAGATGGTGTATGGGGCCCCATCCCTGGGGACATTCAAGGTCAGGCTGGAAGGGCTCTGAGCACCCTGATCGAGTTGTAGGTATCCCTGTTCATTGCAGAGGAGTTGGACCAGGTGGCCTTTGAAGGTCCCTTCCAACTCAATTCTCTGATTCTCCCCTTCCCAGTGAGACACAGCTCAGGATGGCCTCATCCCACAGCAAGGAAGACGAGAGCACTTCACCCACCACGTGCCATCCAGCAGTGCTGCAGTTTACTATCTGCAGAGTGTCAGCTAAGTGGCATCCCAAACAGAACACAAAAAGAGGAACTGCTTAAGAAACTCTGCTTTATGAATGATATTCAACAAAAATTTAACAACAAACTAACTTCCTTTGTCCACTTCCTCTCTACAACTTGCAGGGAATAAATGGCAGGATGCTGTCTCCATTCTGTTCTCTCACTCTGTTGCGTGTACCCTGTCTTCTCATTTCAGTCTTCACTGTGGCAGGGCTATCGCCACACTGCCCACACATCTGTCATCGATGGCATGAGTGGAAACCAAAGGGAAAGCACAGCTGAAACTCCAGCATGACACTGGAATTCCCACATTTGACACAGTGCTGACAGGAGGTAGAATCATAGAATATCCCGAGTTGGAAGAGACCCATAAGTATCATCGTACTAAACTACCTCTCTCCCAAACCATGGAATCTCACCAACCCATGGGGAATGTTCATGTGGGTGAACCTGAAGAAAGCTTTTTCTCAATAAAACAGAGGTATCCAAACTACTCAAGCAACGTAACAAGACTCTCGTCCACCCTCCCTCACCCCTACACAGACCAGCAAAGAGGAACTTGATGTGGCTTACACGGTCTTGACCGTGAGAACTTCCACCCCCAGCTTCCAACTGCAGAGAGGCAGTGTCACACAAGGACTAGGCACGAGGACAAGCCACTGCTCACAGATAATGCACACCTCACCTGCCACAGATGCTGCCCATGGCGGAGGACAGTGTCACCCCGCAGACACGAGGGAGGAAGTCCCCCACCCAACAGGAAATCATTGCTGGGGACCGTTCCATATCTGCTACCTATTTGATGCAACACGGCATGATGAAGACCGGAAGGCAGTTTCAGAAACAAACAACACTGAATTTAGCACGGGCATCAGGTTCCCTCTTTCCCCAAAAGAAATCTGGGAGTTGCCCCTCCCATCCATGAAGAAGGATTCGGTTCTCAGCAGGGGACTCCAGTGCTCATGTGAAGCAAAAAGAGATTCAGTAACTCCACTCAGCAGTTTCTGAACACTTGCTGTACTTTAAAAGTGTTTGAGTTACCTTTGGGTTGCCAAGACTTCACATGCTTAGCAGTGCTAGTTAGCTCACAGACAGAGGTTAAGCGGCTGCTCAGCCCCCAGGGAAATCAGTATGGGAATCGCTTCTGCTTTGAAGTCAGCAGGTGCCCCAGCCTGCCTCCCTTTCATTATACCATCTCTGCCTTACAGATTAATGCAATCCCAGCACAGACAGCCATCTTTCATCTCAAACGTCTCTTCATTTCCCGGACGTCTTCTCAAATTTGAGAATGTTGAGGTATTTCATCTCAAAGTTAGCCAACTTTTTGCACTGTTTCCCTTTGGCTGAATATGGTCAGGAGCAGCAGATTAAGTATGCCTTCTACTTCTGATACAGCTCCCCCCCTCACTTTTCTTATCAAAGGCATTTGCCCAGCAAAAGGATACACAATGTCCTGATGTTTTGCACAGGTGCTCATCCGTTCTGGAAGGTGCTCCAGCAAAGTCTGAATGGTCTGTGCCTGCACTGGCTCCACCTGACAATGGCTGCTCTGAATCTGAGCAGTCAGGACAAGAAATGTTTCCCAGATGAACAGCAAACTCTTGTTCTTTCACACATTCCTCCTGCATCTCCAGCCAGAGCAATGAGACCTCCAAACTTTGATCAAGGGGCCCATGACAATACGGACAACACAGTTTAGGCAGCTGCTGGCATCAGTCATGTTCTCATTTCACCACTCAAGGTCAAGCTAGCAGCTGCAGGACTCCTCATCATCTCACTATAGCCTCAGAGGAAGCTTATGACTCCCCATCAAAGACTAGGGGCAACCCCTTAGGGTACTCCCTTCTCATTTTCCTAGGCAGTCACTGCTTTCTTACCTGGCAGAGGAACATCTGAAGAGCCTGAGATGTGGCCTCTGGCAGCTCTAGTAAGTTGGCTTCTGCCACTTCCTGGAGAATCTGGCCAATTTCTTTTTGAGAAATGATATTGCTGCTCTGATATTTCAGAAACTTGAACAAAGGAAATGAGAAGCATTAATCAGTGAGTGACCCACAGACTCCAGTAGCGATTCATCACCTGAAAAGAACTCTTCTGTGTTAAAGGATGCTGCAGCATGCTAATCACAGGCCTGATTTTATACCATTTCTAACAGAACCAGTGCAAGTGCAAATTGGTGGTGCTCTGGCTTGAAACTTGTTTTGGTTTAGGTCAGGCAAGAATCAAAATGAGCCAAGTATCCTTTCAAAGTACACCAAGAATAACAAAGATTGACAGACACATCATCTATTTGGAGAAAGAAAGTTCACACAAATAACCCCTTCCTCTCATGTACTGCTAGGAGGGCTTTATCATCGGTGTTTCTGCTGGGTAGGAGCACACTTCCTCTCCTGCTCATAGGCCCCAGGTACACTGGGGTCATACACTGCAGTAGTTCCCTGACCTTAGAAGTTAGGTCTGTAAGGCCAAAGACAGGGAGAGAAGCAGTGATGCCACGCAAAGCCCTGCCCTCCAAAGAGCCATAGCACACTCCCAACTGCAGCTGCGCATTCTCTGTAGTCTTCCCCTCTCCTCTGCAGGGGTCCTAGGTGATGCTAAATCAATGCTACAAACACCAGAAGAACAGGATGTGCTCACTAAGAGCAGTCACTTTCTGCACAGTGTGGAAAGGAAATTCACTTCAAAGTACAATTATTATAGGACACAAATACAGTGACGGACAAAACCACAGCAGTATCCAAGATTGTGTAAGTGCAGGAACTAAGTTCCAGTAACCAACTCAGATGCACTGTACCAACGTAGAAGAAAAAAACAGAACAGTCTACCCTGCCCTCACTCACCAAAGTCATGAGCCTCAGAATTTCTGGCTGCAGAATGGACTTCTGGCTCCCATTGAGCAGTGTCAAGAGCAGGAATCGGTGCCAGGGCTGTGAAGCAACATGTAGTGCTGGGAGAGAAGGAGAAGCCACTGAAAGATACCTTTAAAATCTGTCAAGTGACAGGCTGGATCTGGAAAAGGAGTCTTCAACTCTGACCTTGTATTTTCACTTCTAGACCCCCAAGCTGTGGAACACTAAGGGGGTTTTTTGCTCTGTACTTACTTGCTTTAAAATCTGTCACTCTTTGGGCAAGAGTTTAGTCGTGAGGAGTAAAGCTTGACAGCTTTTTAAAACACAAAATACATTTTGTCCACCTCTGTGCTTGTACAGGAAGATAAACCCTCTCCTGGGGTTCATGTCATAAAATAGTAAGAGGATATCTTTAGCCCAAGGTTTCAAAAATAATACCCTCTGGTTTCAATATGAGGACAAGGTTCCTGAACGCGGGTTTTATTTAGCAGCAGGATACTCCTTGGGTAACGAAGGAAGACCTATAACATAAGCTGCAAAAACTGAGCCTGGATCTGCATCAGAGAGCATACTACAGGGACCAGCCAGGCTGATGGCAGCAATGGAAACAATCAGTAGAGAAAACGTTTTTAATTAGAAGTGTATATGATAAACAGAGGTTAGACTCAAGGTTGCCATCTGTGACAATACAAAATCTCTCACTGCGCTCTAAAGTTAAGTTGTATTACCTTGTACTGGTTGAAAGCATGTGATGGACAATTACAACAGGTCAGCTGATATAATTGCTATACCTTGACAGTTCACCAATTGGTTTGAGCCCTTTGCTTTAGAAAGATTCCTTTTCCACTGGCAGTCACATAATCTCCCTGTTGCCACTACAACAATCTTGTCCATGGTAAAGCAACACCAAAAGAAAAAAAAAATCAAGTAAAGTGCTGGGGGAGAATAAGAAGATTCTTGTTGTCAATGTTGTG